GGCGGGGTCGTGGGGCCGTCGCTGCGTCCGGGAGATAGGTTTTATCCAGAAACACCGCACTCTTCTCTCTACCCCTTTCTGCCAGCTCCTTGCTGTCGAGAAGGCATAAATTTCATTTCGCGTGTTGTGCTTCGAATCTGGAGACGTACAGGCGCCGGAAGAGGTAGAAATTGCAGAGGTGGGGATACCTTCCCCAACACGAAGCTTTCTTACTCGCCGCATAAACCATAAGGATTCACTACTATCAACGCTTAGGACATGAAGAGGACCGCTTCTGTGAGAACCCGGATATAAATCGATTTTACAACTTCTCGTATTTCAAATTACGTAGCAAGTAGTAATACTGATACTGCAATTTTCTTCATTCGAGAGACTGTTAGAATTGTATGGGCAATATGCAATATATTGCAATATATTCCGTGTTAATCTCTGATGTAGCAAAAAAGTAATGCCTGTAATGCATTTCCATGCAGGTCTTGACACTAAATCGTAAAACCATTCCATATACAGTGCTTAGTGGAAGGAAGGTTTCAATGCATCTCAAATTTCATGAAAATTACCAAATATTGCGCCTTACGGAGAAACCGATATTATTTCCGCATCAAAAGTCCTTGGCGTAACGTATTTGAGAATCAGTTGTATGTAGGTGTGGATCCGTATACTATTTACAATATTTCATGCAACACAGTATGTCTTTTTGAGCGCACGAGGAATTAAACGCACGGTGGACCAAAGCATACTAGAGCCAGTGAGTTTCGTGTTTAACAAGTTTAGGCGATAGGCGATAGACGAACGGAGTGTAATGAACACTGTTAGGGACATTCGGTGGGTGTATCATGGAAGAGAAGTTGTTTCATTTCGACGCTAGCTAAATGCGTTGACTGAACGTAATGGGTTCCTGGCTTCGTAATGGATTGTGAAGGAGCTGCCCGGTAGTCGATGGGGGAGGCCGAGTGATTGGTGCGAGTCTGATGGGCAGATTCGCGGCCGAGGTGTCGAGCGAGATCGAAGGTTGAGGCGAGAGGGAGGTTCGGCACCTCCCCGACATTCTGCGTTTCAGGGCGTGAGCGAGGAGGGCTGGCGCCGCCAATGGGAGATTCGGGGAGAGAGACGAGACGAGCGGGGCGAACCTGGGCGGCCGCAGGCCACGCCATGGGATTCAAATCGGAAGGGAGCGGAGCGGAATGGGAGGGCCGGGGCGAAGGGAAGGTAGCCCTTCCGAGGGCTGGTCGCGTCGAGGGAGGGGGCAGGCGCTGACTGCAGAGCGACCACCCGACCGGGAAGCGGCGCGCACGCATACATACATTCACACACACTAATTGGCTGTATCGCGTATGCAGTTCCTCATTTACTCTCCTGAATATTGCATCGGACACAGGAAACAAATGCAATGTCTGGCGCCTGCTATTTCGCCGGATCTCTTGGCAGAGCGGGGGCGGGGCCCGCTCGCACTCCCTTCCCCTCCGCCCCCCACTGCCCGCCGCCTTCCCCCTTGTGGCTGTGGCTGTGGAAAGCCTTCGCCCGCAGTGAAGGTTCGCAGCACTCAAATGCGTACTTTCTCGCATGCTACTTGTTTTTTCGACAGAAGTAATTAATACAGAATATATAAATAATAAATTAAAAATTATACAGCTTTCCCATCTTCATAATGAATAATTCTTGCCCTTCATTGGAGAAAATACCTGACTTAATTATGTTGTGAAGCAAGAAAATACAGATTGTGGATATTTTGAATTGGATTTGCCTTATATTACGTTACGATACTCGGGCCATCAGGCCCGCTCTTCCGTCCGACCACGCAAATTTCGCTACGCTCCTTTCACCAACTAGCAGGGAAAGGAGGTATTTCTTACGCGAGAAACAGGCGATTTGAATTTAGCTCAGAGGCGTCATTTAGGCTTGAGGATCTTTTACATGCAAGTAAATCTACGAACATGGGACAGCCGGCTTTACTTCCCCTCCGAAGGAAGGCGTACGAAGGATTTTTTCGCCCTTAAAAATCCACGGCTTCGATCGGGTTTGAACCCGCCAACTTGGGTACAACTGTCCAGTACGATAACCGATACACCATCGCCGCCGCTATTTCACATCGAAAAATGGATTAATATATAAATGTATGTCCTAAGACCATGGTAGCTCTTAAATCGCAGCCACAATCTTC